TGACTCTTGAATGTTATTGTTAACTCTAAGTGGGACAGGCAAATAACAAGTATGCAACCAGCAGGACCTGGCCTGAAGAAAACTGCCTATGAAGTAAGCAGTGTAGCTGCATGCCTCTGCTACACCAGATCAGCAACAAGAGAGGAGAAACCATGCTCTCCTGGACAGCAGCCTCTCCTCAGGTCAGAAGAATGGCTGAGGACAGAAGAGGAGAAACAATAGCTAGAGGCCACAGGTATAGTTTTTAGGAAGGGCAAACCAAGAAAAATCTCAGCCTTGGCTTTTCAATTTCCCTCTTAATAAAGTGTTCATAGGAATACAAGGAAACACAGAACCAGCTAATTCCAAGCTGGCAAAGGCGAATCTGCTTTACAGAATTGTCCTTAAAAAACTGAACATCTCAAAACCACCCACAAGAAGTAACAGGTGCACGATATCCCGGAACCCAAAACTCTCAACGTATCGGTTCAAAATGTTTAAATAAAGACCTTTACATCAGATTTAGGGAACAAAATACAAGATAAATTGTTCTGCACCCTACTTTTTCCTCACCAAGGCTTCAGGTCATTAGGCAATTTCTTAACTGTCTCAGGTAAGAAAAAATATTCTCTGGAGGCAGATCATTTTCTGATTTTGCACTAACAGATTTTTGCATTTTAACGTATCTGGACATACTGATGACAATTCCCTTGTGAGAACGTCAGACAGAATACAGAAGTTAAAGCTGCTGATCTAATCTGATGCCTCGTCACTTGTAGAGAAGTTTTTTCAAAAGAGAAGAAAAAAACTATGACTTCTTTGAGGGGCAAAAGTCTGAAGAACCAGCAGAAAATAAGCCTATCCTATCTTTAACTTAGAATACTTTCTCTTCAGTATCATTTTGACTCTGTGCCCAGAAACTCCAACGTAAGCCTTGTGATTGCAGAAGTCACAAGAGAATCAAGTGTTTGCAGAAGGCCATAGAAGCAGGAGAGATGTTTCCTACTCCACTTTTGGGTCAGAGTCTAACTGAATAAACTCAGCCCCTTAAAATTTTATTAAGTTTAAACAAGGGTTTATACATTTGGAAAAATGGTGCTTGGAAACAAAATTTAAGAAAAAAAGAGAGAGAGGAAGGAATGAAGAATGTAATATAACCACAGGAAAGCAGAGGTGTTTCCCCCTTTCACTGTTCTTAATTAAAATTTAAAAAAAAAAAAAAATCTGAAATTGAGAAGGATTTGTTTAGTCCTCTGCTGTCATCAGTGCTGATGGCTCTGGGACAGGAAAATGGCAGGGATTTGGGGGCCTGCTCACACCCCTCCAATTTCAAGCACCTTACCCTGGCTCAGCCGGCTTCTCAGCCCCAAGGCAGGCAGCATCTCCCTGAGGCAGTTCTTTCCCTGTCCCCAGGTGCCAAAGGAGCTGTCCTCTGACCCAGTGCCCAAGCTCCTGCTTCAGTCTAGGAAATAACTTTCCCTGTGCTTTTCCTCCCAGCACCATCCCCTCTGTGCACCCCCTTGGTACAGACTCTGCCCCAGGGGGACTCTGCCCTCTCCTCCCAAATGCTGTGGGAGTCAACAAGACTGGCACCAAGAAACTGCAGATTTCCCAAACTCCCTCGGGGAGGTTGAAAAGGCTCAAGAAACTCATCCATAACACCTCAGGTCAACAGGATTAGTGTTTCCACTTCTGGTCCTTCTTTCTGCTCCAGGATGAGTTTTGCTCTAAAGGCATCTCAGCATCTTGCAGACGGCTACTGCAGATGCTCCATCTCCCAAGACACATGCTAGAGGAATTTAGGAAGTTACTGCACCTGGATATTGCACCTACCACCACCACTGTCCCCACAGCTATGTTAGACTTTCTCAGCTACTTTCCAGTTCATTACAGTGACCTAAACAAATGGCTCTGAACTGAGGCAACTGATGGACAGGTTCACCTTTATTCTGCAGCTCCTGCTAACCTTCAAGGGACAAGCAGGCACTAGTAACTTTATAAAAAGCCCTCAAACGAATCCTCAAAAAGTGAGAGTCACAGCCTTCTGCAGGTCCCCATGCCCCTGCAGGACAGAGCTGAATTCCTGGCCTCCACTGTTCACATAAGTATTGAGTCTTACAACTCCATTCTTGATCATTTGTTCTTTTCTATGTGATATTTCAAAGTTGCGTACCAGCTGCAAGGACTTACCAGACCTCTGAAGTGCTAGGACAGCAGCTGGATATCATCAAAGAATGGGCACACCTTCTAAAAACACTGTGACACTTTTGTCTCCCAAGACTGGCATGGGTACCTGCCCTGAAGTTTAAGTGATGATACATCTCACTTGGGATATTTATAGTTTTTCTGCACTTGTAGGCCTATCGTTTGTTGTCACCTGGTGAGACTTGCAGTACACTCTCAGCCCATGATAAATCCCTGTGCCTACATTTAATGTCTCAAGAGAAAGATCCCACAGGGGATGCTTCACATGAAATATTTAAGCTAGGCTAATCTAATTTGGTAACCAAATGGCAAAGACTCTCTATGGCAGAGAGAGTCTATCAGCCTTGCAAAAAACCACATAGAATAAACTTTGGAATTAGCACAACTGGCAAAAGTTGACGTGAATAGGGAGTTTATTTTAGGTTTTAATTTTCTATTTTGTTCTGCTTGCAATTAAAAATAAATGGTATAAAGCTGGTTTATAAAAACACTACCAAACAAAAAACCTCTTTACCCAAATTAAAAACAACAACCCATGAGAGGAAAATACTTCACAACATTTAGAGTTCTGCAGGGACTAGTATACATATAGGGATTTTAATTTTCCATGGCCTGTAAGTGTTATAATCTCTATCAACTCCATGCACTCTGGGACCATGACTAACACCAGTGCTTGAACTCTGATTGGTTGTTGGCTTCTTTCTTCTTTCTTTAACACTGTTTTTAAACTCACATTTGATCCAAGAATTTGCAGGGATAAAGAAGTTTTTACAGCAATCTGTTCCTCTCAAGTCTAACCCACAGGTCTGTTATAGGACATTGTGTCAACAAATCACAGATGTCTGCAAGTCAATGCAACCAGTGTGAACGGCCACAACTTGTCTCGGGGACAAAGGCGTTATTGCTGGAGAAACTACACTGATAGAGATTAAAAGATGACTCAGGACATTCAGATGCTAGACTGTCGTCATGATTTTACTACTAGTAGTCCTTTCTTTGCATCCATGGCAAATATACCACCACACCTTGCAAGAGTTATTTGTCAAAAATCATGATGCATTTATCTCGCGTGCTGTGCCTCAACATTGCAGGAATAGTTACAACCGTTGACTTCTCCAGGATCCTCTAAAGTAATGAGCTCTCTACCTTTTCCAGCTCACACCCCCCATCTTTAGAGATGTATTCCTACCTGAGTTGCTTTCTCCCTTCACTTTTCAGTGGAAGGCTGTCCACAATGAACAGCTCTGGCAGCTTTGGTACTACACAGACTTCTGTTTCAGTATTGCCATGTTAACCACCCTGTTATGTCCTGTTTAGTCATGCTAAAACAATGCCTCACTTTCTAGGACTGTATTAATGGGAACAGCAAAGGGGTTTTTATCCCATTCATCACCATCAACCACTCTTTCTGCTATTTGAAAATGATAACCAGATAGGGAAAAAGAGGAGACATGACCATTTGTCCAGAATTTGAGGACCTCTGATTGTCCAAGCTGATGTCTTGCTGCTCCTGTTGAGGGGCAGGCTAGTTCTTTGACAGGTTACATGGAAGAGCAGCTTCAGCTGCTGCTGGGTGTCTTTTACATTCCTATCTGGAACTTCTCAGAGGGGCATAGAAGACCTCTGGGAAAACACCCATGTCATGGAGTGTGACTGGAAGACTTTGTTACCTTACAGCCAGGTTGGGGCCATCCTCGCTTTCCCAGCTGTTCCTCTGAGAAACAAGTGACCCACAGAGCCCTGTACAACTCAAGATAGCAATGGCAAGATAAGATGTCTCAGAGACATCTGTCTCAGTTCTCTTTTGAAGTCACATAGTTATCCTTGATTTGCATTTGCTAATGGTAAACGACAATCATAATTTAATAGACTTTCATTGGCAAAACATACATAATACTGTGGCTGCCAAAGTTTATACAGGTCCCCTCCACATAACTCACTGCACCTGAGACAGGAACCTGGGAACATTTATCAAAAAATGGAGACCAAAGACCAAGTTTCCACAGAATTAATGGGAAAGGAGAAACAGGAACCTACATATTAAATGAGAATCTCAGAGTTTGCCATGAACTATCAAACTGGTCTGGAAAGCAGATTCCTGCTCCATTGAGAGTTTTTAATAGCATTGGATAACTAAGATAAACAGAGACTGAAGGGCTGCCTGAGACACATACAAAATAATTGAAGTTTTGAGAAGTTATTTACTTTATAGAGTATTTACATAAGGTTCACTTCCTCTTCATATATAAGCTCAAATATTACAAAGATTTCCCCCCCCCCCCTTAATGAGGGGACTACATTCAACAGCCCCACAAACATCCATAATTAACTTTTTTTCAAGCACATTCCTAGGCAAGTTTTCCAGGCAGTCCCTCCCCCAGAGCTCAAGCAATACCACTCTCTCACCAAGCAAACAAGGCACGTGTGGAAAGAAAACACAGGGCATCAAAAGAAAGAGAGGGAAA